TTATTGCATGTTTTATTGTGAGTCTGAGTTGGAGAAGAACGGAATGTTTTTTTGTTTTGTTTTTTTGCCTCCCCTGTTATCTGATAGCAGTTTGAAATTAATTTGCTGAAGAAAGTAGCTGAAGTTTCCTCCATCATAGTTATCTTGGTGCATATTTGAACTGCTTAGTTAGACAGGGAGGCAGATGGAGGAGGAAACAGGGACGACAGCAAACACACAACAACGATGGGTCTTACATAATTACAAAAAGACTAACATCCTGCAACTTGCAATACAGTTGGCTAATTCATATACAGTATTTCATCAACTATTTGCCATGAGAGCATGCAGAGAAAAACAAGGGTGTGTGTTTGTCTGTGACTATTAGTAACAATTTAATTTTATAATTCGGTGCTTCTTTTTTTTTTTTTTACCACACAGTTTCTGCCATCTGACTTCCTAAGCATCTCTGTTTTAGGGTCTTTTCTCTTCTCACATCTTTCCTCTGCTCTGCAGCGCTGATTGCTTGTCTCCTCATGGCCTGGTGCCCAGCCACCGCTGGGCAGCATTCCTCACTTGGAGCCAACTGGAAGAAAGGGAGGAGAAGTGAAGGACGAATGGAAGGAATGAGACCAGGAACCACAGTGAATCTTGTATCTGAAGGATTGGTGACATAGTTGAAGAGACGAGGAGCGCTTTCTACTGAGAAGCAGTTTAGTTCTATATTTTTAACAGCACCCACTGATCTTAAATCCTCATTTTTAGCTCCTGTTTATAGTCACATCCACTCACTCTTGCACAGCTGCTTACTTATTACAACACTCTCACTGAGGCCACAAGAAACCCACATGGCTTCATGCAGAGGTCTACTTAAATACACAAAGCCCTCAAATACACACTGCATGCCCTTCTTTTCTTTCACGGAGGGAAATGAAATGCCATATCTTGAAAGTAACTTATGATGTCTGCTCTGCTCCTGAAGTGCAAAAAACAGGGATTTGCTGAGAAAGCAAAATGGACTCCACCCTGCCCCAAAGCTCCTATTTTTCTGGAAACTCAAATACAAGTGTGAGTATGTGATTTTTTAGGCTTGCGGGTGCATGTGTGTGCAAGCAGTACAGATGATTTCTGTGTGTCTGCTGTGCGTCTGCTGTGTGTGGCATGTACTTTGGGAACTGCTGGCAGATGGAGCTCTCAGACTGTGGGTATGAGACAGTTAAAGAGTTTAGCTAAGCCTGAAATTTAAGCCACACTGGAACACACCAGCCACGCACACAGTCCCCTGCTCTTTCATTGCTCTTACATTTGTCTCTCACTCTGTCATTTCTTTTTGTTTTTTTAACTCCGGAGAAGTCATCTTTTGTTTTTGCCATTTCCCACCAAAACCATCTACACATGCCTTATCAATAAACAGAAGAAATGCACCTTTTTTATAGTGTCTATTAAACATTCTAAATGATAGATTACTAGACGTTTAAGCAGTTTTGACAGACTGCAATAAAAAGAAAGAATAAAAAAGATGACGATTGGTGTATTTCAATCATAAAAAAACTACCAATAACTGAATGGCTGAAACATTTAAACTATCTACCCAGCTTCTGCCAGTCTCTTCAGACGGGAAGGAAATATAAAACTGACTGAATGTATCAAAAAAGTAGTTCAGGCACTGCTTTTAAAAAATGGTTATAACATCATAGAACTTTAGAAGCTTGTCAGATTTTTCTTGAATCCCAGTGCGGAAATTCTACAAGCATCACGTTCCTTTGAAATTCATTAAAAAAATAAAAACACACATAAGCCCTGACTTTAAAATCCAACATGGCTGCCATTATCAAAAAAATAAGTGATGATAAACTCTTTAATAGCTCTACAATGTATCAGTATCATGGATGATAATATCTGGACTTTATTTGTGCACATATCACTAAAGTGTTTATACATAGAAAACACAATATAATGCTTTATGACCATCTGGATTAATGGTATTCAAAGATGGCTGACTTGACTGGAATTAAGGATATAGTTCCATTTAGATGTGGACATTTCAGATATTAGGAGGTGTCTTCAGTTTTCACTTTTTGCTTGCATGCTAGATGATTATTCTTTTTTAGTACATTCATTTGTCCCAAACCCAAAAAATCTGAGTGCTGTAAATATTTCCGAGATCTGATTTATGCCTGCCACTTCTTTGATACACTGTGTTCAATAGAGGTCAAAGACTCCTTTGAGAAAACGTGAGTTTTTGAACATCTTGAAGAAATCTATCAAAGGTTCTCCTTTGACTTTATTTCATACTTATACCATCCTCCACTTAAATATAGCTGGAGTGACAAAATCTTCTTTTCTGTAGTGTATGTTTGAAGTGAGCAGGAAAGCTGGAAGTCATTTTGTGGATTATGAACTCATGCCATTCTAATGAGACATTTATGAACCAGCTGAAGGGTCACTGGGTTGGGTTCATGACTTGAAAGTATCCTATTAGTGTCCGCTGACCAAACCTACACATATGGCCTTCTGAGGTGGTTGAGGGGAAGTGTCTGGTTTTACTAAGCAGCTCCTGTGCAGGGCTTTCGCTAAGAAAGAATTGAGGTAAAACAGGAAAATGAAAAAGTAAAAAAAATATAAAAAGGGGAAGTTTGTGCCTCTGTGCTAAACAGGCTGAACGTATGTTATACAAATTAGGAAGAAGGAAAGAAAAAACAAAGCACATGAAGTCATATGCAAATATACTTAATGTTTAGAATGTGTTTTTATACTGTGGAATGTAAAATTAAAATAAGATTAGAAAATTTGGATTGGGTGCTCCTTTGTTTGAATCTCTAAAGTCGCATCCAAAACATAAACTTTAACTCGTTTGGAACCACTTTCCAGCTTCATTTTGGCAGGATGGTAGAAGACTTCTCCAGCAGCTGTCAGTCCAATGGAAACTTTGAGATCATAAAGGGGCTATTCGAAAGCTCATTAATTCTTCAGTTTGGAAATAAACTGACTGAGAGACAACAAATGATCTTGTAGTCTTTTAAAATTGCATAATTAGGCCAGACTCCGGGTTGCAGTGGAACATATTTGCAGCACAATGTAATGACGGAGAAAGAGGAGCAGAATCAGCAGCACAGTGGCTCATAAAGCACAGGCTATACCTACAACAAACAGCACACATCTTAAGCTCATTAGATAATGGAAAGGTACTTTATAGTTCCATCAGAATTTTCCTGCACACCCCTCCTTAAGAGAACCTTTAATTTAGACTGTTTACCATTTAGTCTTTGGCTTCCCTGGGTTTTAACCCTTGACCCTGAACAAATCACCACTGCTACTCCAAAACCCATCAAGCATCTGCATACCTAAATTGTTGAACACAGGAACTCCATCGATCCCTTCCTCTGTTATAAGCAGAACTTCACACACACAAAAAAAAAGAGAAAAAAAGACTTCTTCTCATCAGTGCAGACTCACACAGGCCGGACAGGCATTTCCTGTGGGTGGGACATGAGAGCGAGACATTCTTGAGCCAGGCACCTCGACTTCCTGCCTCTGTTACTTCCACATTGAAAGACAAACTGTCTGGACCTGAAATCATTGAACACACTTTTTGAAGAACGTAAAAACGGCTTGAGTTGAACATGAAAGATAAAAATGTTTTAAAAAACACATATATAGAATGATATATTGTCACCTCACTTAATGAGACATGGTTGAGCTCATGTATTTGCACCAGCCAACACATATTTACAAACCACATCTTCCCATTTGTTTTCTCCATCCTGTCTTTTTTTCCAGCTTGATCCATTAATGGAAAACTATATATTTCCATGCCTCCAGTGACAGGGTTTTTTTTTTTTTTTTTTTTTTTACTGTGTGTATGCATGTTTGTGTGTACCATGGGGTGTTGCAGTAGGTGTCACAAAGAATCAGTTTCTTCCTGGGGGTCAACAGCTGCACCATAGTGTTGGCATTTGGCAGCTGGAGCACTTCAGAGAGCAAGCACAGTTCACTGTGGGTGAGAGTTGCATGCATGTACATCATATAGGTTAAATGAATGTACAAGTATGTACACCTCAGCTCCATTGCAGATCAACCAAAACATTAAAACCGTTAAGTGAATAACATCACATTGCTATGACATTCTGCTGCTATATTTTTGGGTTGTGACATTTGACAAAAGTGCTTCGGGCGATGGCCGAGCCAGCTTCTAAATTTAGCATCAGCGGGATACGCAGGACCCAGCCTGATCCATGCAGGCCACGCCGCACACCGCAGGACCCAGAGGATTGTCTGCCAACATCCCAGTATCAGGCCATCTTTGGACGGCTCATAGCTTTTTAAGTGGCACTTTGCTTTACGTTTCCAACAATATAGCATTACCAGTAAAACAATATAGTTTAATGTAACATACAAGATTCAAGTCAATTTTATACCTGTTCCAAGTGCTTAATGTTTATTTTGTGTTTCTTGAATGGCTATTAATTGGTGACAACCTACCACATCAAAATTGTAGAAATTTAAAAATTCTTG